TAATTTTTTTCGCAGTTTTTGTTAATTTTTTACAATAAAAACAAATTTTTTTTTAACCTTCTATACAATTAAATTCTCTAAATTTTTTTATTAAACCATTTTTTAAGAAAAATGCAAAATAAGCTTGCAAATCGCAAAAAGGATCAGTCCAGCGCCTTTGTCTTGATCTGCGGGCTGTGTCGGAGTCACAGCCGCTAAACTTAAACGTAGAATACGTTATATTATTAAGATAACATTCAAGTTAAACACGGCACATGAAATATTCGTTTTGATTGTATTGATTTAATTTTAATAAATCAATACGAATTGCAAAATATTAAAAATTAGCAATAGAGAAGTAGATCCACATTAACTTCACTCATATGTACGATCAGCTTATAAATAGACATACATACATATGTCATGACGTGTATCACTACATGGATTCATTTTTATTTCCTTTCATACTGCAGAAATTTGTATTACTTTTTGTATTAGCCTAGGTCCCCGTATTCTTCTGAAACAACTCGCAACCCTCCTAAATATAGTTAAGAAAAAACAAATCTCTTGCGTCTGATATTGTGATACCTATATATTTAATGTGCCCGATGAATTAAGTTAAATTTAATTTTTTAAACAACGCTCCTAAATACAGTTCATAAATAAAGCCTTTTTAAACCCATTTCATTTGATACCCATATTTTTAATAATTGTTTAGCTTATTAAATAATTTTAGTTTATTTTTTTTAAGCAGGTGGAAACCCCCTTTAATATTCTAAATATTCAAACTAAGGATATCTTACCACCATCGTTTCACGACATATTTTAATATCTCATTTAGCTTATGCTTACTTTAATTGAATTATAATTTTAAAACATATGGCAACCCTATTTAAAATATTTTAAAACCAAAACCTTGTTAAACCTTTTGGCTTACACACATATTGTGATACAAATTTTAAATGTGTATATAATTCCCTTAATTCAAGTTGAGTTTAATTTCTAAAACATAATATTTCATATTATTTATTTTAATTATACTTTTGATGACAGACGGATGGCAATCCTGTTAAAAGTATTCTTAAACAAAAACCTCGTTGAATCTTTTCCGTGTGGCACTTGTATTGTGATGCAGAGTTAAATTATATAATACTCTTGATTCAAATTAAATTTAATTATAAAATCAGGTGGCAACCCTCCTACATGCAGTTTAGAAATAAAGTTTATTCAAAGCAATTTTGAATTATATTCATACTGAAGTAATATATTTTTACCTATTGGTTTTATAAAATCTAACTTTATAACATGGTGGCAACCCCCTGCAAAATATTTTCAAACCGCAGCGCCTTTCGTCGGACATCCATATCAGGATATACATTTAAATTTTTCTGCCTTTATTTAAGTCGAACTTGCTTTTTGAAACATTTACGTATAATAAAGAAATAAAGCCTTTTGGAAACCATTTCGATCGATACTCATAGTTAATAATTGATTTAACTTAAAAATAATTTGAATTTATTTTTTTATCAGATGGCAACTCTTTTTGAAAAACTAAGAAGTTATTGCACATCCACAGGCCAAGCCCCTTAATTTTATACCTCATTTTGTAAAATCGCACTAACGGTACAGATCTGATATGACGAAAATCTTTCGCGTATTATGCATTCATATGTACATATATCCGATTACTAAAAGAAAAACAGGTCTACATAAACTGAAATTAACATATGTATGAACGTATTTGTGTTTTTACATACATACGCTGCGATTAGGTTAAAAATATTTCGCCATCTGTTACTCAAAAGCCATACATATGTACATACTTTTTGTCGCCTTCTCTCACTTCCAGCGCATGCACGTGTTTGCAAAATTATGACGAAGTGCTTTTGTATGGAAAATCATGTATGCTAATATATTTGAATAAAACCAACATATTCAGAAGATATCAACCAATAATTTCCATATACCAAACGAAAGGAAAAACCTTGAGTTGTTGATTAAAGAAAACAAACAAAATCATTCGAGCAGTTTTCCAGCATTTTGGTAATAAAAAAAGTTTTCTAATTTTTTCGACAATTTTTTGCCTTAAAATGCTCAATATTTGTTGAATTTATATAAAATTTGTACACGGTAATATTTCAAAATTTACGCTTGTTTTACTAGAATTTCAGGTTTGTTAAATTCTTCTAAATTCTGTATAAAGAAAAATATTTTACTTGAAAAACATTACAAATATTTAACCAAAATCCCCATTCACTCACTTTTGATCGCCATTATACATATTTATATGCATGAAAAATCAAGTTTATGTTTACTTATTGACACAACCATTAAGTAAGATACATCATTATAAAAGTTCCGCCGCGAAAATTTCACTCTGGATCCACCCGGGATAACTTCTACCGAGTCACCGAGTACAAGACCCCTTTTACAAATTTGTATGCTCAGAACTGAAAATTCAGTAGAAATCAGTACACATTTTTAAAAATCAGGGCATTAGCGTACTGACTGAAGAAATTGACAAAATCAGTACGAGAGTTAAAAGATCAGCACTGTACTGATAAAATCAGTACGTATGGCAACCGTAGGTGTAAGACTGTGGCTTTTTCATTTGTCATAGAATTCCTGCGTGGAGGTATGGATAATGAACTAACTGTGCTCTGAATGCTAGTCGTTTGTTATTGACATGCATTTTCTGATTTTTACATACATTTCCTAAGCTAAAGGTAGTAGCACAAAGTCAAAGCTTCTTGCATCACCCCTTCGCGGGCTTTTTTAAACACGGTATTTTTATAACCTTATATTAAGTTTCATCTGTTCATCAATATCAAATATGTCTATTTTTTGGTTCCGATCGGTTCGTATTTATGAAGGTATCTAAAGACCTCTTATCAACTCAAAATTCTACAAACGGTACTTTTATTTTATTTACCAGCGGACATTCTGGCCGTACATATAAAGTTATCCCTGCGATTTAATTGCTTCAAAATGTATTTAAAACAAGTAAGAAAGTCTAAGTTCGGGCGGAGCCGAACATTAAATACCCGGCGCAAGTATTAAATATATGTTTCACCTTTCCGAAAGCTACCGATACATGGTAAGCCGGGGTGTATCAATTTTGAATAAATTAGCGTCCTTCAATTTCGAAATATTGAAGTTTCAAGCATTTCTGAAATTTACCGTTATATGAGAAGCGGCCGTTATTTTAGTCCGACTTCAATAATTTTCAACGTTTTGCTTATATGTGGCAAGCACAATAACCACACCGAGTTTGGTACAAATTGGTAGAACGGTTACCGATATACTTATATGTGATCAGAAGTGGGCGGTGCCACGCCCATTTTCCAAAATTTTACCATAAACGTATTTCTTGGTAAAGAATTGTTGCAAGCATCAATTTTGAATAAATTAGCTTCAATATTTACTGATTTATCGAAGGTTTTTTTATTTCTCTAAATTACCGTTATAGGGGATGTGGGCGTGGTTATTGTCCGATTTTAAAAAGTTTCGGCGATTTTTTATGCTGTACCAAGGCCACCAACTGTGCCAAGTTTGGAAGAAATTGGTGCAGCGGTTACCAAGATATACACATGTAACCATAAGTGGGCATGGCTACGCCCATTTTCCAAAAATTTATAATATTCTTATTTTTCGTCTAAAAATTATTGTAAATATCAATTTTGAGTGAATAATCTCCAGTAGTTACTAAAATATCGCAGTTTTCGTATTTCTGAAAATTACCGTTATATGGGAAGTAGGCGTGGTTATTGAGCGATTTTAGAAATTTTCGGCCGTTTGGTATGTTGTGCGAAGGCCAACAACTGTGCCAAGTTTGGAATAAATTGGTGCAGCGGTTACCAAGATATACACATGTAACCATAAGTGGGCGTGGCTACGCCCATTTTCCAAAAATTTATAATATTCTTATTTTTCGTCTAAAAGTTATTGTAAATATCAATTTTGAGTGAATTATCTTCAGTAGTTACCAAAATATCGCAGTTTTCGTATTTCTAGAAATTACCGTTCTATGGGAAGTGGGCGTGGTTACTGTCCGATTTCGCCCATTTTCAATACCAACCTACCTTGGATTAAGGGAAACCTACATACCAAATTTCGTTGAGATATCTCAATTTTTGCTCGAGTTATCGTGTACACGGACAGACGGACAGACGGACGGACAGACAGACAGATTTCTTTTTTCATCCTGATCATTTATGTATACATTTGTCTATATCTATCTCGATTCGTTTTGGCTGTTACAAACAACCGTTATGTGAACAAAATTAATATACCCTTGTGCACAAGTGCGCTCGGGTATAACAAAACTGCATCATCGTTTTTTACCATAATACTGGTCTGGTGATCTCAGTGCGAATTCGGCATGGGATGTTGTCATATTTACTAAAATAATAAAACTGTATACATACAGACATGTGTGTTCATATACACATTTACATACATATGTACGTATATACACATTGTTAGGCCAAAAGAAAAAAATTTCCCATTTATGTTGTGACACACCCTATTGTATACTCTTAGACATGAAAAGCATTCTAGCATAGACCATTTAAATGTTCTTTGAATTTTGAACAAGCAAGTTCAACGATGAACTGCTAGAATGTAGCCATGTGGGAGGGTGAAACTGAAATATACTGAGAAAATTGTCTGCACAAGGAACATGAAAACTACAACTATTTTACATATGTATGTATGTATATACATAAGAATACTCACGTATAATAATTACGTGTTTGTATATCAGTGTTGCCAGAAGTCCAGATTCTTAACCCATAATTATATGTCCCACGCGGGACTGACTCATAGCGTTTTCTTTTCTCACAAAAAATTTTACCCTCTTAAATGGCAATATTCTCTTTACGTCACACCCATCCCTAAAATATGGTAGCATTAATTGCGCAAGAAAAGAACATAAAGGCTACCCTGGATATCAGCTGATGCTATCAACCAAAAAATACAAATTTTGCAAAATAGAAAATAAATCGAGTCGCTTTATTAAAATGGATGTAAAAAAGGAAAGCCCATTATATAAAACATTGCAGCGTAAGTACAATGAAAACTGTTAACTAGAATTTTCAAGTGGAATATGGCTTTACTTTTTGCAGTTTGGTCAGATGGAGAGAGCCGGCTCCTTCTTGATAGATACGCGCACTACTTACCTGATATTGGCCCCATGAAAACGTTGAAAAATAAGAAGGAAATGTGGATAAAAATTGCAACAGAAATTGAAGGCAAAAGTCCTAAGCAGTGCGAGGAACGGTACAAAACAATCGTAAGAAGAAAGAAAGCCGCTGTGGAAAATAACAACACATCCGGAGCAAAAAGGCAAAAAATTGACTTCGAGGGGGAGCTCGATGAAATATGTAAGCTGGATGACTCGATCGAGCCCGTAATCCAGATAAGCAGCCAGAATGTTTTACGAAAAATTTCTTGTAATGAACGTGTTGTGAAATACGAAAAAAAGGAAAAGAAAACCGTACAAGAGACTTTGATGGAGATAGCGCAAAATAAGGAGGAAGCCCGGGAGAGAAGACACAAAGAAAAAATGAACTTAATTCAAAACTTACTGGGAAAGATGGTAGAAGACAAAAAGTATTAATTTCGCACCTACAGCTGTCCACATAATAATAGGAGTGCGATATTTTGACCAGTTTTGACTACTTTTCTTTTGTTTATTAAATATTTTATTTTTATTTTTATTTTTATTTTTATAAAAATGTAGTTGGTTATACAGCAAACACCATATAAGTAAACATTGCAAACTTTGTACAAAAATTATAAAAATTCTACAAAAGTTCGAAAATTGCAAAAGTTTAAAACTTTTTAATGCGAATCTTTAGAAAAAATTTTAGTTTGCTGTTGTGTAGATCATTAAATTGTATATAATAAAGTGGCATTTACAAGTATAACCAACTACATTTTTATAAAAATAAAAAAAATATTTAATAAAGAAAGAAAAGTAGTCAAAACTGGTAAAAAATATCGTACTCCTATTACTTTGTGAACAACTGTAAATGCTGACATATTTTTATTAAAAAATATAACCTACTACGATGAGTGAATTTCTAGTTTTGTTAAACAATAGTTTGAATTAATTAATATTTTTATTTTAGTTCTTTTCTAATAAAAAGGCAGTTAAACAAATGTTATGAAGAGCACAACAAGCTATAATAAATTTGGCCATGACTTCCACATTGTGAAAATCGAGACGCATTAGCTGGCGAAAACGATAATTTTAAAACCCGCGAATTATGAATTTTGCTAGGAATGCCTGTATATACGTCCAGAAAACGTAGCTTTGCATCGCAAATTCCTTGCAACGTTATTGATGCACAATCATGTCTATTTGTGTAGGTTGAACGTATTTTATTCTTAGGCTTTCTAATGGAAATGTAGCTACCATCTATGCAGCCCAAAACGTTTGGGAGCCCAGCAATCTATTAACGTCATAAAGAACATTTTTTAAAAGTGCTTTAATAACCAACTTTTAAGTTTTAATATAAACCTTTTCAAATTCCCTCGCAACAGCTTCTTTCTCAACACCTTCCTTTGGAAATTTTATTGACTCCGGCGCCACAGCTTCCACTAAGAAACTCAAAACTTTATTGAAGGTTAAATTAATGTTCGACAACGTCACGCCAAAAAGGTTTGCTACTTCTCTGAACGTCGTTTTGTTAGCGCTAAACCTGAAATACGTGCAATCAATGAAAACTTTGTAATACATTCGTAGATATTATGTTGTATTTCTTGCATCTTACCACAAAAAAGAAAGCATATGAGTTTCCGCTGTAGATTGCAGTCTGCCTTCCTTGTAGCTCCTTTTTACATACCATCTGCTAGAGGAATACCTTGCGACGAGATATTCTGCACTGTCGCGGGTAATGCGGAAGTTTGTTTTGAACTGCAATGTAAATAAAATTTATTAAAAATTTTCTTGCATTTTTTTGCAGTGCAGAATAAGTGTAGAACTTTTTCGAGAAAAGAAAACGCTATCAGTCAGACTCGGAGAAAGAACGAAAAGGAACCGCACCATTATTTTGTTCAGGGTTTGTTCTTTTCCTCCGTGTTTTTTCTTAAAGTATTCCAATCCGTGTACCATGAAATGGCTTCGCAAGACTTCGAGAATACCTCTATAGTTTTTTCATATTAAGTGTACCAACTTCAACCGTGTTTTTCCAAATGAACTTAAATCGGTTTGATAGAAGAGACAAATGGTCCGTAAATTTATGTAAATAAAGCTGAATTGCTCATCCAATTCAATCTGGTGATATCCCGTACAGAGACCTTCAACTATATTAAAGGAAAAATTGAAGCTTTAAAAAATGTTAAACCTTCAGAGAACTATAAATATATAGTAATTCTTATTACTGTGCCCAATAATTTATGTAATGCAATGCCTATTTTAATAAAGGTTAAATGTCATAGAACCCTTCTCCGACTCATCCATATCAACCCAGGTTGCGTCTTAATAGGATTAACGGTTTATAAGAATATAAATAGAATATAAACATACAAACACTAATTTTTATTTATACTACCTAGTTAATTTATATTCGTAAAATGTAGTTAGATTTTTTTTAACCCCGAATTGGTTTTGCTATCTATTTGTCATAAGTAGAGCCCGGATTTTTATGCGCTAAAAAATCGAAAATAATGTGCACTAATAGATCAAAAATATGCACTAAAATCTCAAAAATATGCACTAAAAACAAAGAAGTGTGCAAAACTACTTCTCTCATTTATTTGCTTTATTTAATTTTTTTATTTACTTTTCATATTTTATTACAAGTTTATAATTAACGCAAGATATACATATTGTAATTTTTAGTGCCTCGAAAAACTTAAAATTAATTAAATATATACCTAAAATTTTAAAACTTCTACGTATTAAAAAGAGCGGCACATTTTTCAAAAATTTTCTTTTTGATGCAGAAATGCCCGTAGAGTATCTAGATGTAATTCTGCATCAAAAAAAAAAAAATGAAAAAAATGTCGCCTACGTTTTTTGGCGGTTAGGGCTCGATATTTGGCGCTGAGTAAGTGACATTAAAATAATTTTCGGCGAAATCAGTACCCAATAGTTGCATGGAATCATCAAATGCTCTTACAATTGTGGAGTGATTCGTCCGTTCTAGACAAACGGCGTTGAATAAAAAATGCAATTAAATATGCTTTTTTGACAAAATATGCCTATATATGCTTATAAGGAAAAATATGTAAGAATATGCACTAACAAATCCATATCATCTTAACACAAAACTCTTGCTTCGCAACATTTGCTAATCTTTAAGTTCCTATGACTCACGAAAAAAAATTAAATGAATTACTAGGAATGTTACTCATACGCCATGTTGAACTATTAATGTAAACGTACACAAGAAATTATTACGCATTTTCATTTGACCATTTACAACTTTATTTATCAATCAATTTTCTTCGTTCATAGCTTACTGTTTTTGTAAAAGCACAGGCTTTAACACAAATGAAAAGAATTTACAAAAAACTTTTATTTTGAGTTCGCATTTTTTTTGTTCACAATAAAAAAGTTTAATTAAAATATCTTGCGAAAATGACCTGATCTAGAAAAACGATATACAGGGCGGTAATCTACGACCCAAAATCAAGTTTACGTGTTACGGCGTTTTTTTATGTCATTTGTGTTATTTGCTTTTTTTTCCCGTTCGAAAAGCTTTCAAAATCCTACTTCGCCCGAAAAAAATATGGTATTGCTGATGTGTATGTACATTGTGTTTCTATATAAACCACTTCCACACACAATTCTATCGTCTGCCATGCATGTAACTCAGAAAATGGCCAGCTCCTTAGTTTGACATTTTATGGACAACCACAAGCGCCGCTTCTGCATAGCAGACTTAAGAATCAAATTGTAATGGGGAACAGAAGTTTAAAGAAAGCAGTATATACAACGACAAAATACTCCCAGCAAAAGCGGCGAACAAATATTTTAAAGGAGTTTTGAGTTTTTTGTACCTCCGCCTGTATTTACATGTTCATCAGGCATTTAAGAAATTTGGTATTTTGTACTTTTTCGTACATCTTTGGGAAGAAAAGTACCGAAGTACCATCTACGAATTTAAGTACATTTTTGCCCTGAAGTTTCATTATTAAAGAAATTAAATGTATCTTTTCTATATGCATACATAATTGATAATAAATAAGATATGTTAGTATATTTCAAGAATGAAATCCACAAAAATGTAATTTTCATAAGCAAATCGTTGTAGCCTAGCCAGAACCAAAGTACATCGATAAAATAAAGCACATTTTTGCTAGCACTTTTCGTGACTTACCTAAAATATTTTCAAAATTTAAATACATATGCCAAGTTTTTGGCGAAGGCTTCAGAAATGAAGGCATAAAAAAGCTTATGTTTCCTAGCGTATACAAAATAGTGCATGGTGCGCGGTCAATTCCACGCTCTTTGTTGTTGACAGTATTTCTATTCAGAATCTAGTCATAACAAGATGCCGCAATCTGCAATGATCCTTGCATCTTGTATATTTTTAGATTGTACCCCCCTAGTAAGCTTTTGGATCGACGATGTCCCATGGCATTTCGTAAATTCAGTTCTCTTAGCCTGGTGGTTTTCTTCCTTAGCATTCCCTTTATCGCGTTGGGACCTGGTCCTATCGGGGTCGAGGCAGCTGCCAGTCTGGCCAGATGGTCCGCTTCCTCATTACCTTTGACTCCCATATGCCCTGGTACTCATAGAAATTGGAGGGCATCGTTCTCAGCCAGAGCAGAAAGTTATCGGTTAAATCTGAGATTATTTTATAATTACAGATTAACAAAGGAGGAATTTTATATGGCTAATCTCTCTCTCTAATTACAGATTAGGAAGTTAATCTCGAAAATGAGGATAATCTACTTATATGTGAACCTAGTATAAGCCTCTCTACAGACTCCAGGACCACCGAAAATTTGATCTCGAATAATGAGAGAGCCTAGCAATAGCTCAAAATTTGGATCCTCTCAATCTATCCTTACTCCGAAGGTTGACCTCAGCACACAGACTGATGGCATAAACTTCCACTTGAAAGATGCTGGGGAAAGTTCCTAGGGGAACAGAAAGCTTCAGTCTAGGGCCATAAGCACCTGATCCTATCCCCTCAGGATTTTTAGAGCCATCTGTATACCACTTTAATGTGGTCGCCTGGACGTGTCTCTTCTTGATAGAAGTGGTTCTGGTCGCCTTAATAATAATATCCCAACGGTTTTACCCTCCATTGCCGCCCATCCGCACGAGGGGCGCAGTCCGCATGACGTACGGAACCAGTATTTTAAATTTTTGCGCCGAGTCACGATAGGCAGGAGTTTGTTAAGTGTCGAGATCTAAAACTGTTCAGCTACAGAACCAAATTCATCAGCCGATTTTATGTCTATATTTTAATGATTCATTTATTGAGAGAGGACAGTATCGATTTATTAATGCAGAAAAGCGGATCTGATATATCAAACGTGCTGGAATGAGAGTTAAAATCCTGGCATAAGCAACGGAGTGGGTCGTGCAATTCAAAATTAGTTTTACAAGCTTTTAGAAATAGGGGGCAAAAGTGTCTTGATACCCGGTTAGGAACATTAAGGCTAACTTAGCCAAGAAGAAGCGGACTTGAAATTGAGCCTGTTAGTAATTTAGCTATAAAAATTGTACCAAGCATTTGCCTGCGGCTGGAAAGTGTAGGAAGATTAACAAGTTTTAATCCGCTCGTGTAAGGTGGAGGTTTTATTGAGAATCCCAACGGAAATTTCTTAAAGCAAAAAGTAGGAATTGTTTTTGAATTGATTCTATCTTGTCTGAGTAAATTTGATACCTTGGATTCCAAACCACCGAACCGTATTCACAGGGTTTTAGTGATATAAGGGTCACAAAATTCTTTTGACCATCGTTTCACAAATGCAAGTACACCTTTAGCCTTGTTGACTGTCACATTAATATGAAGATTAAAATTAAGCTTAGGATCCATTGTGATACCAAGGTCCACAAAATTGTATACCTGTTCCAGGTTATGGTTACCTATTGTATAGGAAGTGGGATGAACAGCTCTTCGCGAGAAGCTTACTTTACATTTCTTAAGATTTAGAGGCATAAGATTTACTTGACACCAGTAAGCCATGCTGTTTAAGTCTGATTGTAGCAAAGACCTTTCTTTAATTGAAACGTACGTTTTATAAAGCTTTACATCATCTGCATACATTAAAATTTTCGAAAATTGTATATCTGTAGAAATATCGTTTATAAAAAGCAAGGACAGAACCGGGCCTAGGTGGCTACCTTGAGGGACTCCTGAAGTAACATCAATGACGTCAGAGATAGTATTTTTAAACATTACCCTTTGTGATCTATCATAGAGGTATGAAGAGATCCAACGTAGAAAATTAGGTGGAAGACCAAGAAGATCAAGTTTGTAGATGAGCAACGAGTGGCACACTTTGTCAAATGCTTTACTGAAGTCAGTATATATAACATCAACAGTTTTGCTTTCACTAAATGCTTTTGAGATATAGGATATTAATTCGAGTAAATTTGTAGAAGTTGATTTGCCCTTGCAAAATCCACGTTGACTATATGAAATGCTAGAAGAGATAGAATGCGTCAACTGATTTGTTATAATTGCTTCAAATAATTTAGGAATTGCAGAAAGCTTAGCTATTCCCCGGTAGTTCTCCACTGAAGATCTGCTACCGCTTTTATGTAACGGGGTTATGAACGATTCCTTCCATATAGTTGGAAAAACGCCCTCTTTAAGAGATAAATTAAATAACGCTGTTAACGGCTCATAGAGATAATCAGAACAATTTATAAGAATACAAGTAGGGATCTGGTCAGGACCATAACTGAAGGACCGCTTTAAGGATTTCAGATATTTATTGAGTTCATTGGACATAGTTTAAAAGGATAGTCAATGTTAGCATGTGAGTTAATGGAATAATTGGATTTAAAAAACTGAGCGAACATGTTAGAAATTGTTTAATTATCACTAGAGACGGTATTTTGATACTTCATGGCGGAAGGAAACCCACGTACATTTCGCTTGGAGTTTACGAAGTCATAAAATGATTTGGGGTTTTATATTATACGCCGTTTGATTTTACATAAGTGAGCTTTATAACACTTTTTGTTTAATTCAAAAAAGTTATGACGCAAAAGTGAGTATTTTACTTAGTATGAGTGTAAACCGGTTTTTTTTTGTAATCTAAAATAACGCGACTTTCTGTTTTTCTAAGTTCTTTAGTGAACCATAACTGGGTTTGCTCTTCAGGAACATACATACGTTTAGGCACATGCTTTTCAAATAATTTATGTAAAGTAAAGTTAAAAAGTGCAACGCTTTGTTCAATATTTTCTTTACATGCAGGCCACGATAATTTTGACAGTTCTTTAAGCATTTAAAAGTTGGCTTTCGAAAAATCAAAGCGAATATTTGGCTCGTATGCTTGGGTACTGCAATTTTGACCATCACTTATAACTTCGTGAGATACCTCCATAGCAGGGTGGCAGACATCTTCGAGCAAAACTAGTGGATCACACTTATTTACAACGGACTTAGATGCATCATCAACATAAACAAGATCTAATACTCTACCAAACTTATTGTGAAGTACATTAACCTGAGTTAGGCAGAGTTCAGCCATCTCCTCTAAAAATACGTTGTTGCACGCACTAGACGCGAAAGGTATGATATCATTGTCAATGATGTTCCATGATATGCTTGGTAAATTAAAATCACCCAATATAATCATTGAATCAGAAGGTTTAGACAGTAAATTAACTGATTTCAGTAAAGAGATGAGTCGTGAATACACCAATGTGTCAGATCGGGGAGGGATATAGCACAGAGCTAAGTAAATAGATCCTTTTCCAGCCTGTACACGAATGCATTTGAACTCTACTGAATCAATGTGTGGAAGAATAACTTCTTCAGATGGTATTGAAGAGTCTACAGCGAAGAGTACGCCACCGCCGATTCTGTCCTCCCTATCTTGTCTATAGATATGATAATTATTTGGAATAATCTCTGAATTGAAAATGCGAGGTTTCAGCCAAGTTTCAGTAAAAGAAAGACTATTATAATTACATTCAAGGCCTTTAAAGTATAAGTTCGTTAATTTAGTATTTAAGCCTCTTACATTTTGGTAATAAATACTTAAAGCAGATTTAATAATTAGTTTTTTGATTCAGTGTTATGACGGGGAATATTAGCTAAGTTATTTATTTTTTTGGGCCTATATTCGAATTCACGAACGAAAGCTCCGGGGGGGCCAAAAAGAACTACTAAGCAGCGCATTAAAATTATCTAAACTTACGTCAATTTTAAATGAAGCAATATTTCTTTTGTAATTAAAATTAAATTTTCTGATGCTTATGTCGACAGTTGGAATTTTTGATGAGGTGTAAAGCTTTATAACGTCTTCGGTAGTGTCTCTCGAAAATCTAGAAACAAAGATTGACTTGTTTGGCGGAACCACAACTAGTTTCCTTGTATCAGACTGGACTACCGGTGGAGGGGGTTGAGTTTCTGCATTCGTAGTTGAGGATAGGGAAAGCAGTGGAGGCTTTGAAGACGATGCCGCCACTTCAATGGGTGAAGGGGAAGATACTTCAGGCTCTTTATTATCCGAAGCAGATTTCCTTACACGGTCTTTTGAGGCTGAGGATTCTGATGCTGGAGGACACGGAGAGGATAAATTAATTAAGTCCGTCGGAAGATTATTCTGACGTGCAACGGCAGCAATTTCCTTAGATGGACTATGAAGACGCTTACGTTTAGACACACGGATATCCTTAACAGATTGCAAGGTATCTAAGCATTTGAATGATTTAAACATATTTTCATAATGCTTAAATTTTTCTGTCAGTACCGACAATTCCCTTCCTATTTCTGTAAAACCATTTCTGGTTTGCCTAAATAGCTTGAAAAGATCAACTTCGGTTGACCTGCACTTTACGCAAGACCAGCGAAGGCCCTTGCCATCATTAATAGCGTCCAGAATTCTTCCCGTCAAACCAGCACATTTCAGATGGTAAATACCATCACACAGCCAGCACGATAAGTAGCGTTCAGAATCGCTTTTAATTTGGCAAGTATCAAGATCACACTTCATAATGAAAGATTTATGTAATACACTCGTTAATAAAAGACAAACAAAATAAATTATAACAATTAAGGAGCTGATGTAAATAGCTTTAAATAAATGTAGCGAAGAGTTTGAGTATCACTGTAAATATGACACTTAATAAACGCAACGCAAACAGCTGTGACAAGAATTACTAGAAGAAGTAAACAAAAAGAGTAGAACAAATGTGCAAAAACAAAATGAAAGTTAACTACAAAGGATACAACAACAATGATAGCAACAAATGACTCGGCAAAATTAGAATGTATGCTAGTGAAATTTAATTAAATTTACTTTAATATAAAACAAATAACTTTCACTTGGCTTCAAATATTTCACACTCTGATGCTGATAAGCACTTTTTATCACTACTTTAACACAGAATTAGCACAATGAACTTAGTAAGTAGAAAGCCAAAATCAGAGCACAATAAAGTACAACCTCACAGCTTGACGTTTGCTTAATATATTTTCCGTTTGCCGTATATTTCAACCTTATGGTTTTTTTTCGAAAACTGCTACTTTATGCCCTTAGTACCTGTTGAGCAGAGCTAGAGGGAGCTAGAAGCCTACCCTGTTTCTGGATGACAAAATCTTATCTTCGCCAAAGC